AATATCCCATCTAGCCGAACAGCACATAAGCGACTATCTACTGGAGTCCAATTTAAAAGAGCCAGTCCAGCCTAAGCACTCAGTGCAATAGCTACATTAGTGAAGCCACGGGAGGCACCAGTGAGGCTTCCAGGTGCACGAAGAGTAGATTGGGACGGTTGTTATTCTCGACATGGTCAAATGAATGATTCTTGTCGGATCCTGTATGTGTATTTAGGTGACAACACAAAACTGTAGTGAGGTTGAGACTACTTATCACAAGATTACTAAATAAAATCCCATTAAATCCAGAAATCAAAAGGAAGACTATGGCTGGATAACGAGGTGTATCGATCCGTGATATCAAGACTGGAATAAAGAAGCAGCTAACAACCACCAAGGAGAACGAGCAATGGAAGGAAAATGCTTGGTGCGCGAGTAATGGTCTTTAGTACAGTTAAAAAAAAGGGTACAATAAAACAGTTATGGTTTTAATCGTTTACGATAATAAGTGCTTCCATTTCAGCAATTGTGTTCTCTTCGTAAAAGCAATCAACGACAGTAGCCCCCCGCTAGAAAGGGTCTACAATATCGATACGCAAAGGATTCGTGCGGAGGGGGGTTGATCGGCCAACGGGCGATTGTAGGGCGGAAGGGTTGCCGAACAAGAAGCGACCAATGAAGCTCCAGTTGTCACCGAATTTCATCTACGTTGAAATGTACCAGTAGTAACGTGCCAGGTTTATTGCTCGAGGTGGCGTGCCACATCAGCGTGGCCCGTATACAGTCTGAAGATTGCGTTCGTAGGGGTTCGGGGAGACAACGCCGCAGACGTAGGACGGAACCATACGTATGCCAGATATATTCGGAACCGGAACATCGACTGAGTGCATTGAGAAGAGCGTACGTGATCAGGCCAGCTTACACCAAAATTGACTGAAGTCCACGGTACCAACAGGCCGATGTCGTAGACATAGACAGACAGACAGATACAACGCAGAACTTCGTACGTACGTACATCAGGTCAGGTTGCCATACCACATCAACACAGAGACGCAACTGTCAGTTCAAATCCAAGAGTGGTAGCAATAATAGAAGTATTAGCAGTAATGGAGAAGATTAACCTTCCACGGTGTGGGCAGCCGGGAAGCAACAACCGCCCTCATACCCGCAACAGCACACGAGACAAAATTGTTCAAAATCAAATCCTTCCTACATTCCCTAATACCTCTCTTATCTCCACAACTAACTCTTCTCACATTCATTTATTACAGTGCACAGCTAATGCAAACGATGCGAGTTTGCGAAACGTCGTTCCTGGTCTCCTTAAACCCCGTTCCAAACTACATGTTGGAGCATTCAATGTACGGACATTGTGTCAAATAGGGCAACAGGCATCATTAGCTAGGACTTTAGAATCTCGTTCCATCGATGTGTGCTGCGTCTCGGAAACGCGCATACAGGATCCGAGTAGCATCACTCATTTGACCTCACCATGTCAAGATAAAGAAGCAGCTCGATTTACCCTTCGTGTATCCAGGAGCCCTGATGCTGCTTCTAGGGGCCTCGCCGGTGTAGGTATAGCATTGAGTCGTAGGGCAGAACAATCTCTCCTTGACTGGATCCCTGTAGATAGTCGCTTGTGCGCCGTCCGACTGAACGGGACAGTAAGGACTCGGAAAGATAGGGACACTCGTCGTTGCCTCTTCGTCATATCTGCCTACGCCCCCACTGACTGCAGCCCAGATGATGTAAAAGATGAGTTTTACAGAAAGCTTTCGGACCTCCTCCAAAAAGTTAAGCGCTCTGATATAGTTATAATGGCTGGTGACTTCAATGCACAAGTAGGTAGACTAAGTGAAAATGAAAGACACCTAGGTGGATGTTACGGTCTCGCGGCTCAAAGAACAGACAGTGGCGACCGTCTGTTGCAACTGTGCTCAGATAACCAACTATTTCTAGCAAACACTAATTTTAAGCATAAGGAAAAACACCTTTTGACCTGGCGACCCCCAAAGTCATCTCAACGTTGGACACAACTAGATCATATCGCCATCAGCCACCGATGGAGGGGTTCGATAGAGGACTGTCGGTCGTTCTGGGGCACATGTTTAGATTAGATCATGCCCTAGTGCGAGCACGTATTTGTTTGAGGCTTGCTGGACGTAGGAAAGACACCGTAAGAAAGCCTCTTAGGGCTTTACTTGATGATAATCAAGCTAAGAAAATATTTCAGGAGGAACTAGAAAAACAGTTAGGCGGCCATGCAAGTGATTCCCATCCTGAAGCAGGTTGGAATCATATCAAGAAGGCTGTGGAAACAGCAATGGTATCGGCTAGCAAGGTAAACCACAAGGCTAGGATGAAGCAGTGGATTTCAGTCGCATCCACCGAACTGATGGATGCTCGAAAACGCATCCCACCTGACTCTGAACATGATAAAGAGCGTAGTCAGCTTAGGCGCAGACTTATAAAAAGCCTACGTAACGACCGTGAACAGTGGTGGGTGGTGAAAGCAAAAGCGATGGAAAAGGCAGCGGCGATAGGCAACACTAGACAACTTTTCCGCCTCATTAAAGAAACCGGTATTAGGAACCCGAATGTGAGTGAGACTATCTCGGAAAAGGATGGTCTTATTATCCATTCTCAATCTAGGAGGCTGGACCGATGGGCAGAACACTTTAGGGATCAGTTCAACTGGCCTTCAGCCACACTTCGGTTGCCCACGATCTCCAGTCATCCTGAATGGCAAATCGATTTAAGTCCTCCCAGTTTACATGAAGTTGAGAAAGCTATAGGAAATCTAAGGGGAGGTAGAGCGGCAGGTCCCGATAGGCTTACCCCTGAGATGCTTAAGTATGGTGGTCCAGTTTTAACGGTTAGACTGACCGAGATCCTAGGTAGAATCTGGGAAATGGACGTAATCCCATCTGACTGGTCTCAGTCCCTAATTGTCCCAATCTACAAGAAAGGACAGAAGTCCTCTTGTGACAATCACAGGGGAATAAGTTTAACTAATATAGTTTCTAAATTGTTAGCCTCGATTATACTTAGACGTCTAACTAGAGCTCGCGAAGAGCAGATTAGAGAAAACCAATCTGGTTTTCGACCTGGACGTGGTTGTATAGACCACATCTTCACACTACGACAGGTCCTGGAACACAGACACACATTTAGACGTCCTACAATAGTCGTGTTCCTGGACCTTAAGGCGGCATTTGACTCAGTGGATCGTGAGGTTCTGTGGCAGTGTATGTCATTGAAAGGTGTACCAAAGAAGTACATTAACCTTATACAAGCACTCTACTCGAACACCACTGGTCGGGTGAGAGCATGTGGCGAACTGTCATCTGAATTCTCTACATCAAGTGGCGTCCGTCAGGGCTGTCCACCCTCTCCATCCTTGTTTAACTTTGTCGTAGACATCCTCTTAGAGTTAACATTAAGCTCGACAGATTTTTCAGGGGTTGACCTTTTACCAGGAAAGTCGCTTAATGATCTAGAATATGCCGATGACATAGTTCTATTCGGTGAAGACGCTGACAAAATGCAGAGTCTTCTGACTACCATAAGCAACAATGCAAGCATGTTCGGGATGCGGTTTTCCCCCTCGAAATGCAAAATGTTGCTTCAAGACTGGGTTGCATCGGCACCTGAACTAGTGATAGGGAGTGAAGTAGTCGAGCGTGTTGATCACTTCACTTATCTGGGGAGTCTCATCAGTGCTGACGGTCTGGTGACTGACGAAATCTCAGCTCGGATACAGAAAGCTCAATTGGCTTTTGCCAACCTGCGTCACTTATGGCGTAGGCGTGATATCCGTTCGCTAACCAAAGGGCGGGTGTACTGCGCAGCAGTTCGTTCCGTTCTCTTATATGGCTGTGAAACATGGCCGTTAAGAGTAGAAGATGTTCGTAGGTTACTAGTATTCGATCATAGATGTCTAAGAAGCATTGCTCGTATATCGTGGGACAGCCGAGTAAGCAATGCTGTCGTTAGGAAACGAGTACTAGGTAAGGATGGCAGATCAATAGATGAAGTGGTGAAACTTCATCAGTTGAGGTGGTTGGGACATGTGTTACGTATGCCTAACCACCGACTGCCTCGACGAGCTATGTTTTGTGGCGTAGGAGTAGGTTGGAAGAAAGTTAGGGGCGGCCAGACCAAAACATGGCACAAATCCATGAAGTCTCTGACAAGTGGACTGAGTCATGTTGGTAGATGTAGACTACCTGGTTGGGATCCGCGAGACGAAAGTCATCAATGGTTAGAGACCTTGAACGACATGGCTCAAAATCGTTTGCAATGGCGCAAGTGCATCCACTCTTTGAGCTCTCTCAAATCCTAATCTTCTGGATTAGCCAGCACTTCTACCTTTTGTCTTTCTAACCTTATCTCACTGAATTATATTTTTTGAATAATATCGTCAAACCCTAGTCTTCTTTATTAACATTAATACCTCTACTATCTTTATCACTATGGGATTTGGTTTGACATTTGTGTCTCTGTGCTAATAATGTGGTATGGCAACATGAACTTATGTACATACGTACGAAGTTCTACGTTGCAACTGACTGACTGAATGGAGAAGATTAGGGAGCGAAGATATGACTCGAGAAGATAAATTTAGAAGGAGGATAGAGATTATGAGGAATTCAGAAGGTTAGAATTAGAGAGAACACAAAGAGTGAATGCACCTGCGCCATTGCAAACGATTCTGAGCCATGTCGTTCGGGGTCTGTAACCATCGGTGACTTTTATCTCGCGGAGCTCAACCAGGTAGCCTAACATCTACCAACATGACTCAGTCCGCTTGTCAATGACTTCATGGATTTCTGTCATGTTTTTGTTTGGCCGCCCCTAGCTTTTGTCGAACCTCTTCCCACACCACAAAACATAGCTCGACGAGGTAGTCGGTGGTTAGGCATACGCAACACATGTCCCAACCACCTCAACTGATGAAGTTTCAATATTTAATCTATTGATCTGCCGTCCCTACCTAGAATTCGTTTCCTAACAACAGCATTGCTTACTCGGCTGTCCCAGGATTTACGATCAATGCTTCGAAGACACCTGTGGTCGAAGACTAGTAACCTAAGAAAGTCCTCTACTCTTAACGGTCATGTTTCGCATCCATATAGAAAACCCTAGGTAAGTTGTAATAGTTACAATTTTTATAACTTGCTGCCTAAGGAAAGAATAAGTAGAAAACGGTCGCTCATAATCTAACTGGACTCATCGAGAAGCTGAATTTATATCGGAACCGATGAAGCAGAATTGACACATTACACAGCTGATCATTAAGAAAACATAATGTACTCTTCCATAAGTTTTATTGTTGAACTACCACGTTTCTGTTGGATCCGCATCTAAATTACTCCAACCGCCTGCGGTCCCACCAACGGGGCCGTAACCAGCGGCAGCGATCCCCATTTCACCCAGTGATCCGACAGGCATTGTTGGCTCGACTCCCCACGTCTCGGCAGCCTCAACGTCAGCCCCTAAAATTAGGAAGACAATGACAGGTAATGAACACGACACAATTAAACAGAAGATAAAAAGTTCCAATTGTGAGTTACATCTAAAAAACATTTTTTTTAAACTTAATGGACTGTAATAATCATGGAATGAAAAAGCCTATGTAGGTTTGTTGAGAACTGGAGAAACGGTTTGGGATCCAGGATGCATAAGATAATGATCTGTAACGCTTTGTAATTGTAGAGAACAAAACAGATAACACTAGCATTACTGGAGACCGAGCCATTTTCATTAGCAGAATATATAGGTACTCGTATTGCAGTAGTTAACCCAGATTACATGTGCATGCTTGGATCACATGTGATATCACACCAAACACAGCACTTACCAATTAGCTTTGTTAACGTGTCGGTTAAGCAGTTAACCAGTGAAAATAACTCCAGTATTTGTTATAGGCTTACTGGACGTAGGAAAGACACCGCGACGATCCTCTTAGGGTTCTACTTAATGATAATAGGGCGAAGAATATATTTCAGGAACGACTAGAAAAACAGTTAAGCAGCCATGTGGTGATGCCCATCCTGAAGCAGCTTGAAATAATATCAAAAAGGCCGTGAAAAGAGCAGTGACATTTGCTACCACAAAACATAGCTCGACGAGGCAGTCGGTGGTTAGGCATACGTAACACATGTCCCAACCACCTCAACTGATGAAGTTTCACCACTTCATCTATTGATCTGCCATCCTTACCTAGTACCCGTTTTCTTACGACAGCATTGCTTCCTCGGTTGTCCCACGGTATTCGAGCAATGCTTCTTAGACATCTATGATCGAATACTAGTAACCTACGGATATCTTCTACTCTTAACGACCATGTTTTGCATCCATATAGGAGAACGGAGCGAACTGCTGCACAGTACACTCGTCCTTTGGTCAGCGAACGGATATCTCGCCTACGCCATAGGTGACGCAGGTTGGCAAAAGCCAATCGAGCCTTCTGTATCCAAGCTGAGATTTCGTCAGTCACCGGGCTATCTGCGCTGATGGTACTCCCCAGATAAGTGAAGTGATCAACACGCTCGACTACTTCACTCCCTACCATTAGTTCAGGTGCCGATGCAACCCAGTCTTGAAGCAACATTTTGCATTTCGAGGGGGAAAACCGCATCCCGAACATGCTCGCATTGTTGCTTATGGTAGTCAGAAGACTGCATTTTGTCAGCGTCTTCACCGAAAAGAACAATGTCATTGGCATATTCTAGATCAGTAAGAGATTCTCCTGGTAGAAGGTCAACCCCTGAAAAATCTGTCGAGCTTAATGTTAACTCTAAGAGGATGTCTACGACAAAGTTCTACGTTGCTATTGATTGATTGAAAATAACTCCATGAAACATGAAAGCGTGAAAATCTTTAACCTATAACTACAATAATATTGGATTGTAAGAGATTAGTGAAGTATCTGAATGAAAGATTAGTATTGTCTGGAAAGTAGTTTAAGAATAGGTCGTACATTCGTCGAATTCATTAGTGGCATGGGTAAACCAATAGGTTCTGAAAGATCATAAGATGCATACATATACATTTTTGTTGACTTAAGTGTAGTTTTGGCTAGCCCATATGCACGGTCATTGTACAAAATACATGATACCGAAATCAAGAAATTCTCGATAAATGAATTTATATTCGAACTCAAAACAAAAGGTACGGATGAAGAGTCCTTGGTTTAACCCTACTGGTATCTAAATGATCTTAGCTTTTGGTTACCGAGCTACATCTTAACAGTCCCAGGATATGGGGAAAATGTGTAAGGATATTATCGATCTTTAAGAAGATAGGCAGATACCAGTTGGTCCCAAGAGAATTGCTATGCTTTAGACTATCAAATAAAATTTTGAGTTACCAGTCATCCAAAATGATTAGATCAGTAACTACCAACATAGAAACTATTGAACATTGTCATGCAACAACAGCTGACAAAATTATTTGAAACCTTAGTCAAGCATTTAGTGCTTTTAAGCACCAAAATAAGAAATTCACAAGTGTTTGATCGAAACTAGAGCATTGCAAACAGGCACTAGGCCTGTCGTAAGAAGTGAGTTGTTGAAAATTCAGAGAACCATTGAAGATTCTTAAACAAATCTCTCCTTGCTAAAATACAGAACTAGATAAAAACCAGTCGCTCCAGGTGACATAACATCTGACATGCCTTTATGCCATTATTCGGAGAAAAGGATTTTCAGCATTTCTGACTTTACAAGCCCGTAAACCAGATTATTAGCTGATCACCAGCTTTGAGACTAAGTAATTAATAGACTGAATACTTTGTTCCAACGAGTGATTACTTCTGCTGTTGATACATTTAGAGTCTTGTCAATTGACATCACTGACTTGACTCAATAAGATTTCCCACTATCCAATCGTCACAAACTGACATCACAATGGTGCTGCTTCGGAGTAGTCAATAAACATCGGTAATAAAAAAGGCCTACTATTTAGCTAGGTTAAAGCTGCTTCTTAGTAGAGAACATACTTCTGTTAATGACACGCAGACTACATGCATGCAATATCAAGTGTGCTTCGGGTCAATTTTCTGACTAAAAAGAGCTACAGAAAACTCTTATCTCGTCGATTCGAGATCTAATCAGGCTCCACGAATCAATATCAGTAGTATCTTCTTAAGACATGTCGTTTTTAAAAAGTTTGACTTGTTCCAGATAAATAACTATAGTGACCGATATGTATCACAAGGTGAATGAACTCGAGAGTGAAAGATTTGTTGACTGAGTACTCGTTTAAGTACCAGTCGGTTTTAATTATATCAAACTTAAAGACTTGAATCTACACTGAGACTGCTATTGCAGTTCACATATAGGCTTAAATTGATAGCACTATATAAACTACTGTAACTACCTATTCAAATTAACACCTCAGATATCCTAAAAAAACTACTAACCTGGTAGAGCTGGCTCCAACCTAGCATCTTCAGCTTCCTCGACGTTCTGCTCCTCCTCGTTTGGATCGCGATAGAGAAACAGGTCAGGCAATACACTCCACTGATGCAATCGAGTATCTTCACCTCTTATGCGCCTAACTTCACGAGCGAGAAGCCACCACACAACAGCAATAGAATGAGTTGACTAAGAGCAATTACTAGAAAACTTGAAACCTACTTTGTTATTACACGGAATGACGATATCAACACGTGACAAAGGAGTGTCGGTATTGCAAAGTGCAATAAGCGGAACGTTCACAGAACTAGCTTCTATCACAGCCTGGTGGTCACTCAACGGGTCACTGACAATAAGCAGGCGAGGTTCTCGGTAGCAAGACTAAAGAATATTATGAAGGCATGAGACAAACCTGTCTCTGATTAGTGAAAGCACCAGGTGTGAAACGGCCAGCCATTGCCGTTGTCCCTGTGTAGTTAGCAAATTTCAACACGGCACGCTGAGAAAACGGCCTGGATCCGATTGCGAACACACCTGACGGATGATCAATCGCAGCAATAGCACGAGCTGATAAGAGGATTTTTTCCCATGTTTTGTCCAACTTAATTATGTGAAAATTGTCTTTAGTACGGCCATGGACGTACGTCGACATCTGGAAATTCATATTTGTCTCCCCCACATGAACATGTGCAGCAAGCATTATGCGCAGATCCTCTGCCGAGAGTTCTAAAACAGGATAACCTCCAGACATGGTGAGCAACAACCAATCCAACCAGTCACGAGCTTATTCGAAAAGGCGCTGCGCAGGCTCAACTGATGAAAACAAAGAGAAATTCACTTATCGAAATAATCTTCCTAAAAAAAAATAAATGCATCAGAGTGTTTTCCCTTTGTCATCAGGCTTTTTATCTTCGAGTCTTTGTTTCAGTACATCCCTGAAATGAATGTCACTCATAGAATAGGTAATCGCCAAAACACCCTCAATGTGAACAAAGATAGTTCTTTCAGTCTTTAAAATACAACGTTCAGTTTAGGCTTATTAGCAGGAGAAAAAGGATCCGTGATAACCACTGCCATAGAAACACGCTTCATGGAGAGAGTGAATACTTCTCCAATATATACAGACCAGTCATATGTCACACCTGATAGGCTTACCCCAAGGAGGGAGCTAAATATTTTACAGCAGAGGTCACATTTGATTAAAACTTAAAAAATTAAAGACCTACATCATGGGCTATCCGTTTTAATATCGCCTAATGACCTTCAAGGAAATATATCACAGCTCATCAATAATATTTCCTTCAAGAATATATCTGTGGGTGGAATACGAAAAACGGCTGTCTTATACCGACACATGCCTTCTCCAAGCATCTTTTTGCATCGATTCCTTGTTAGTTTGATCTGCCTATATATGTTTTCCTCATTAGCTCTTTTGTATCTCACCCAGTAGTATATTTCAAGTCGCACGAAATGAAGAGTGTAACTATGTATAACAGTAGGCTTATAGTGCATCCACATAAACTTGAGTTCGCTCATATTTAATTTGATTAAGCCTTCTCGATTAACTTATGTAACCAAGCTATTTGTGTAGCAACAACTCATATTTACCATTGGTATTTTTTATTGTCTGGTTTGTATGAGCTTGTACGACTGAGCATTGCTTACGCCTATGCGCTTACTCATCCTTTTCGCTTTAATGTTAATCTCGTAATATTCCCATGAACTCACTCGACTTGTCTCGCTTGCTTTTGACCTTGTCAATCATTCGTCGCTTTTATTCATGTGTGTGCATGCCTATTTCGCTTGTCATATGTCTGTCTTATTCTTGTCTGACTATATATTCTTAGTCATGCTCTATCTCTAGGAGTTGGCTCAACAGCCTTCTCCAATTCACGTCGCTTCATTCGTTCTATTCAATGCTTCTCCGCTTCGCTTTGTGGTGTGCCAAAATAAACGTATTCAACACTTGGAATTTACCTTCTGATTTATAAACCGTCAGACGCTATTTAGTAACCATTGTCTGGACGAGCTAATTACCGAGCTTAAGAACACGCAATAAATCGGCACACTACAGGTTTCATGAAACTTTTGAGGAACGTTAGTAGGACAGACTGGCTAGTATCACTTAAGATCATGTGTAATCATAGGTCTTAGTGAGTGCCCACATTAATTTGTTGGTGAGATTCACAGTCCTTTAAAAGTGACTTCAACGCACATTTTCAAGCGGATGATTTAGCCGAAATCGCTGATAACGTAGAGGATTGTGACGATATCATCAACAGAGTCTAGACTGGAAATTTTTTATTAAGTAATTCTTCGTCCTCGAAAATGCAGTTAAGCACGATAAAGTCTGCGGGTTTCCCCACCGGTTCGCTAACTTCACACCCTATAAGCCTAGGTCCCCAATGATATCGGTGAAGTGTGCTTCAGCAACGTTCATATGAGAAAGATTGAAAACTTTTATATTTGCCATATATGTGTATTGCAGAATAAGAATTTAGAACAATCCCTCCAGTATACCATCGTCAAATTCGATATCGACATGTAGAAAATTCTATAAAAAGACTGTATAAATTACAGTAACCACCGCACTCGTTGCATATTTTGTACTTCAGTGACTTTGAAACAATACATTTACACGAATTTCCTATCCTAGAAGGACGTTTTTGAAGTTGTTACGGCCATTCAGGGTTTAATGACGCTTTTGTCTCCGAAGACTTTCTAGTCTAATATCCCAAACTCAGTCAAATTAGAAGTCAGAAACGAAGGAGTTCGAAGGTATATTTGATAAATGTTCGATATGTCAGGAAGCCTATGATCTAAGCTGTTGTTAAAAAGGGATACATACGACGGTGATGATCTAGTACAAATGAGCAACCTAGCGTCTTCGGCTGGAATGTGTCCAGAAAAATTAATGAGGTTAGTACCACCGTCAAAGACCTCACCCGGGTGGTAACTCTAAGAGGTAACCAGCCAGATATTTAAGCTGGACGTGCATAACGCCGATAGACACTATTCTGCTAGCTGGCTACGTCCAGTAGAGCCTGGTCATCCTTTCTTTACCCACTGGACCATGAGATACATAGTAATAACAAACTTGTGATGAAACGTTCATTTCCTCATATTGATTTCCGACATTCCATCTTTTATGATCGTCCTGGAGAACAAATGAAGATATAAATCCATGCTGAGGTACACTGGTAGTTACAAAAACTGGTAAAACATGCGAAAAAGAACCTGAGATATATATGTACACATGGTATCAGACAGATCCAGTATATTTTTCACTAGCTAATATAAACCAATTGATTTCGTCGCACTCGATTCGTGTTCTTTTGGTACGGTTCCAGGTACTTGGAAGTGTCCAATGGATGGGGCTCTGGCAGCTCGACTGCCTGATTCCAGTCAGTTGGCAGTTCTTTGATTGATTGTCCCGCTATTTGAATGAAAACATCTTTTTCAGAGCAATAGGGTTTCAGGATACTAGCAGCTATTACATTACGAGGCCGGAGATCAGTTGGTTGCAATGTGGAGAATAATAATTCTAGTGCTGATAGGATTTCAGAATTAAGTAAACAAAGGGATAATTTAGTTTATTAATCGGTAGTAATCAGATCACCTCTGATTCTCCTGTAAATCAGGGGGAATAATCCTAGATGCTGGAGTCTATCCTCGTAAGTTTTATCTTTCAACTCTATCACCCATTTCTTTGCTCGTTTCTGCACTCGATCCAAGAGATTTATGTCTCTTTTAAGGAAAAGGGGTGCGGCGACTTTGGGAGCCTCCAGTTGTGGGCGTGCATATGTCCTAAACAGCGTTAAGAATAATTCAGGGGTGATAGCACCAAGATGTCTTCGCATAAAGGGAAGAGCTGCATTTACCTTGGCTGCGTCCCCTATATAGTTCGAACTGGTGCGAAGGCTTTCAGTGGTTATTCAACCGATATCACGCTCTGAGGAGACATTAGGGAGCGGAATGTACATGACGTGACACTTAGGCTGGTTTAGTTTTAAACCATTTTCACTGCCCATCTCTCAATGGGTGTAAGATCCTTTTGAAGCTCAGTCGAATGATCTTCGCCTCTAATGGACCTCCAGATCTTTGCGTCGTCTGAGTATATCAGTACTGTCGAGCTAACTTTGTCTAACAGGTTGTTAATGAATATGAGAAAGAGAAGTGGACCGTAGATGGTCCCCTGTGAAATTCCCGAAGGTGAAACTCGCGAACTCGCATGCACTCTATTTACCTTGGTGCGAAACTTTCTATTCTCAAGGTATTTTCTAAGCCAAGACAGGAGTGGGTCATCGAAGCCCTTCTCAATTGGGAGTGCGTGGGGTGCTGTGTCAAAAGTTTTTGAAAAGTCAACAAATATTATGTCCACCGGTATTTTTCGGTCCAAGCAGGATGTCCATCTGTCCCATGCTATGAGAAGATTGGATGCGGACGACCTGCCTTTCCGAAATTCGTGTTGAACTTCATGGTGTATTTTGTTCTTATCCATGTACCGCCTTATCTGTTCGTTCACCAGCCTTTCCATTACCTTTGATGGTAGTGGTAGTAATGCGAATGATCAGTAATACGCTAGGTACTTCTTATCTTCTCCTTTAGAGATCGGAAAGACAGTAGCTTATTTCCATTCCACTTGGAGTTTCTGTCACTCCATATAATGCCTGAACAGGTCACATATCGGTTTACAGAGGGCTTCTACACACTGTTTCAAGACCATGAGGCGAATATTGTCACACCCTGATGAATTTCTTGTGTCTAAGTATTTTAGTTTCTTTGATAGTAAGGAGTAATGCGGATATTCCCTAAGCTGTTAGCTGGCACTGGGTTGGCATAGTACTTCGAACATGTGGATACCTGGTTTAACTGATCGGTGAAGTTTGTGTAGATGTCAGCCATCACTAGGCTGGCAAGAACATTTCTATTCGGAACTATGAAGGAACATAAGCCCAAATCCTTAGGTTTCCTTTTTGCCAAGAACCTAAACAAATGCCTAGGGTTTGCTTGTATTTGGACAGCTAGCCTCATCTGAAAACGTCTCTTATCACTCCGAACTTTGGTATTGAATCTCTTTCTCAACGCCAAGTAAGGATTACGGTCAGAATCCTTCGAAGGGACCTTCTACTTGTACCAGGATCTCCTTTTCTCCTGTAGCAAGCGTTTAATGCCGTACATAACCCATGTTCTTTTATTTCTGGGTGGTTGGTGTAACTGAGATACAGTGTCTAGGACAGCATTTTGGATGACGTTTCTCATTCTTTGTCGGTGATCAGCAGTTGCCTGAGTGTTTCATTTATGACCATGTCAAACAAGACTGTGCCATGGTCACTACTTCCTGTTGGTGTTAGGGTGTGAACATCCTCGACCGAGAGCCGATCATTTGTTAACAAATAATCCAGGTTTGACGGTCTTCCTTCCTTAGTCCATCTAGTGGCCCTGCATACATTCTCAGTCTGCCCAGAGCTTCTAATGGCTGCGCCAAGTCATCTTTCGAACCAACCAGTGGATGCGGACCACTTGCTTTCCCGAAACCCGTGTTGAACTTCATGGAGTATTTGGTTCTTATCCTTGTACCGCCTTATCTGTTCGTTCACCAGCCTTTCCATTACCTTTGATAGACAAATACAAATACGAACACCTGGAACCGTACCGAAAGAACAAGAACCAAGCGCGAAGAAATTAAATTGGTTTACACTAGCTCGTGAAAAACATATTGGATATTGGATTGAATGTACAATTGCCCTAATTTCCATTGGTCGCTGCAAGGACGTTTTAGCCCCATATTTCTACTGCTCACACCTGACTATCTAAGTTACTTGCTGATTTTGAAAATTAATTAGCAAATAATAAAGTCGAGGTAAATAAGACAATTAATCTGTTGGTTCGCTGTATTGGGATGTGTACTATTATACAAGCGATGTTGTGTTCATTAGCTTACAAGAAAAGAAAAAACCGTAGTTTTCGCGTATCAAATGCACCAAATAATGTCGGCCATGCTGTTGATAGTGTGAACCTCATTCCAATAGTTATGTCTCTAGAAGGCTGTACCCAACCCCCCTACTTTCGCGGGGGATTTTGGGACTTTCTTCATAATCATCTACAAATTCCTAGTTCTCCCTTGTTCAAGAGAAGTATTGTGGCTTTTAGCTCCATCTCCCGGAAATTTGTCGTTGGAGTATCTCTTAGACCAATAAAATTTCTATATAATCTGGGAAACCGGGTTGTCTTACGAACATACATATTATATATTGTTAAGAATAGGTGCCTACAAAATAATGTAGCTCATAAAGTATGTATGAATGCTAATGAGAAAAAATGTATTCGAATTGATTTTTCATTTGATAGACTGCTTTGTTAGGGATAAGGATACTTTTCACTAGTTGATCAGCACTACCGTCTACATCGTACCTTGATCATCACATTTAGTTTCCAAGGAATAAGTCTGACGTTAACCTTTCCGATAGTTATTTTGAAACTAGTCATGAAAGTCCAAGCAAGAAGAAAATGAAAGTGAGGGTAATTGGGTTTGTTGAGTGACATCCCCCCTATTCTCGCTTATTGGCTTATTCATTTGACTGTGATTTCTTTATTGTGGTTGAAGAAGGTTCTCGTGCAGTCGTATTGCAAGCATTCTGTTCCTTATTTGTACTGTTTTGCCTTGCATTCTAAAACCTGATTAAAGACCACAATTTTAGCCTCATGATTGCAGCCCCGATTTTTCGAACTACTTAACCCTTACTAGTTACTCTGTCATAAAATCAATACCCAAACTCATTGTATGTTTTAATAGTGACTGGGAGTGAAATCTAGAAACATGTTTCGTTGTTTAGTGGCCATCCGGATATCCCCTTATTCTGGTATTGATAGTCACACTGAAACTCGTACTCTAAACTGACTGCTGTGAACTCCGAGAAAACAGTCTATGGCTGTAAAATCGGCGAAACGCCTCAGTCTCAGTAACAGTGGAACAAGCACTTATGTTATTGAAATACGCGTCCGATTCTCTAGTATAACGGGTTGATTCAAGCATGTTTTAGATACTGGTTTGTAAATGTGCATTTAGCAAATGGATGTGTGGGTACACGTATCTAATTTTCTGGATTTATATTTAGTCCTTTCATAAATTTCCTGTGTCCATTTGGTTGTTTTAGCTTCACTTTTGTTTATTCTACAAATATTAACAATCGAGTTTTTATATGTAGAATTTTGAATGATTCCAACGTTTACTATCATAGTAATCATTTTAAACTGATATCCCTTAAGGCCTAATCTGTGTATGACCAGCTACATACAGCTTCCTTCAGCGAAGCCGAATGAATATCAGTCTTACGTGTCTTATTCTGAATACTGTTAATGATTTGAAACATTTCCATTAGTTAGTATATCGATATATCATATGTATATACTCATCTGTTGTTTTTTTGCATATCAGTGTATGTATCTGTTTTTGAAAAGTTGTCTTTTTCTTTCAGGATTTGTATCCGATGTCTATCAATAAACGTTCTTCATGTTACCAAGGTTAACTGTTGCAAATCGCACTATAATTCATTATTATTAACCATCTCATTCTGAAATTTCGTGGTTATTAACTTCATCACAATAAGCCTCAGGAAAATTTTATCGTTTCAGTGAAGTAGTTTATAAAATTTCATAGAAACATCTAGTTGAAGATTATACAATTAAAACTCAGAACCAAATGTTACCTAACCATACACCACCGTACACTAGTGATACCACTGATATTTCTGAATCCAGTTCCAGTTCAGGTTTATTTTTTAACAACCAACAGATAAACTCATCATCAGTCGACCTGGTTGCTCCTGACTCTAGTGTTAGTCCTCAAATCAATCAAAGCTGTCAATCACCGTTAGTTGAAGCTATCTCATCCCACACGACAGATAAAGCAAAAAGTATTTCTAATCAGCTTTCGGCTAACTCTAGTCATGAGTCGTTATCATTAAGTCTGGAGGAAACTGAAATCATTCCAAGTTCCGAATTAGTTCAGGAGGTTTCAGAAAATGTAGACACTTATCAACCTACTGATCAATTACCAGATGACAAAAATTTATTTAGTGATTCTAATCATCAATCTGAGAACTTATTACTTCACAAACAAATTGAAACATTAACATGTAAACTCTTGGCATCACAAGATCAGATTGGTCGGCTTTTGGAAGAAAAACGTATTTGGGTTGAAAACATGCAACATTCAATTAATTCTAAAGAATCAAATCATCAAGTAACTCCAGGTGAGCTGCGTGGAAGATGGCTGCAAGCTAAGAATTTAGCTGAAACATATAAACGCGATAAAGAATCTATGGTCATTAAATATGCACAGGTAAATATCTTTACCCAAATACTATTTTCAGTGGAACGACCTTAGACTAATTTACATTTTTACAGTTTTATATCCTTGTGCATCTTCCTGTCTTGCCTCAAACGTTCCATTTATTATTCTTATAGTCAACATTTTCATTAAAAGGTAACATAATGTTTTGTCCACTTCATCTGTATTAATTATTTAAGTGAAACACAAATCTCGGTACTCTTGGGCACCAAAAATGTTTGCGTCACACAATTAAAGTGATTATGTTGTGATGTAATAGAAGAAAGAGGAGAAGTGCAATGGAGAAAAGTAAAAACAAATATGTGAACAAGAATAGTATGTATCATGAGAACACATTTCAGCTGAAAAAGAAATCAAAAAAGCCTTCCGGTTAAGACAGTAGTGCAACAGGATCTTCACATGCTTCTATCGTGATCCGTTTCTGATGACATGTCAAGCCAACAAATCGGCATTTCCACACATTTCCAAGCCACTGAAACCGACATTTCAAGATGATAACATCAATCGAACTATTGTTACTGCATCTGGGCATGTATTACTGGACCTCATCATTACCAAAATGATGTTATTACTTTGTTAACAGTCCTTGCAACACAAAATGGATCAAGGACAGAGAGTTATTGTACACCATTAACCCATCGAGATCAGGTTTCACTAATAAGGAGTAGGATTACTCTTACCAGTACTTTGTATACATGGCATCTTAAAAATTGGCATAAGCCGTTTACTGAATGACTTGTTACCGTATAAACTTTTATATCTGATCTTGGTGCCACCAACTCAGAATTTATATTGTATAGAAAAGAGACTCCAGTGGTACCGATAAGCAAATCAAAAATCAATTAGTTTCCTAGACCTATATTCCACTCAAGTTAAGTTGTAGTTGTTACTGGTGAAAAAAAGATTTCTCAGTGATTCATCAGACAAAACTATGAAGTATAGAAAACTAAACGTCAAAGACTTTATTTTAATCGTATATATGGCGTTGAATTTCATCTAATTCAATGAAACAAGAGGAGGAAAAAGTATAGTAAATAGCTATAACTCGGACGCACATATCAGCTCAGTCTAACCCAACAAAAATATGCATAAGACTTACGTTTATTACTCATAGACGAAGTTAGACGTGGTTTGTTATTTTGGGCTGAGCATTATAACTACACTAATCTTTTCTCAGCCTATTAAGTGATGCGATTGTGTTAAAGTGAATAATAATTTTAGAAACATTATATTTACTTAAGCACTACGTACATCAATGAGCAATGTTGGTTGTCTTAGGAATAAGTTGAGTAGGAGCGACCAGATCGAGATATGATGCCATTACTCGAAGTTACTGACTGTCTAAATGAGTCATGTAAGTATCTTGGGGTTCGCGCCATAATAAAAACCAGTAGTTTAAAAAGCTAGCTGACGTGACTCAGAATCAGTTTCAGTGACTTATAACGTTCGCTTTATCTTTCACAAGATTTGTGTTTTAGGACTATTTCATACATCCCATTGCACGAACTAATTCCGTTCTCTTGAAGCATCTTTAAATCTAATCTTATTTTCATTATTAATAATACTCCAATATCTTGATAATTTCATCTCCCGTTATGGTGTAGTGACTTGAAGCGGTACACATTTGTGTTAGGTCTCATGTTGCCTAAAATTTATATATTTCGACATCGGGAAATTCTTACACTTGTTAAATGTTTCGTATATGATAATCTTACATAGTGATGTACGGGAGCTGAATATTCCCCTATTAGTTTTCTTTGCTAGAGCAGTATTCTGAAAGTTTATTCTTGACTAAGTAGTAATGAGGTGGTAAAATCCAAGAGCAATGAAATGCTGTTTGATTTTTATTCAATAAGGATCTTGCTCTGGCTCGTGAAAAAATTGAAAGTTTGTCTAAAAAGCAGTCCTCTGATGCATCCCTTATCAGTACATTAACGTCTAAACTATCTCAAGTTCAAGAATCACTTAAAAGTGAACAAAAGAAATCTTCATCTTTGAGTGAAAATTTGAACCGTGTTAACAGGTCTCTAGAATGTGCACAAAAACAAGCAAAGGTCAGTTATTTGTTAAAATACATTTTTATTTTAATATGTATTCAAAGTTACCTCTGTACATTTCAACCTCACACTGTCTTATTGAGGAACACTACAGTTAAAGAAAAATTACGAACTTAATGAAATATACGAACAGTATCTATGACAATGTTTAAAACACTCCCCCAATAGGGTTGGTTTCATGACATTATGTCTTATCCATTCAATTTATGACTGAAACCGTTTTTACAAACCATAAAAAGCTACACATTTTTTAGAATAGCTCGTTCTTAACATTATTCAACCTACAGTCTGTTAGTCCACACGTATTACTTACTGACGCCTGTTATTCATCGTGGAGCATAGGCGGCCGACCAGCATTCTCCAACCTACTGTGTCCCGGGCCTTCCTTTCCAGTTCTACCCAACTGCTACTCATTCTTTTCATGTCTGATTCCAGTGTGTTCTTTGGTCTTTTTCCTCCTCTTTGACCTTGAGAATTCCAATTGGGTGCTAGTCTTGTGAAGCAGTTGGGTGCTTTCTGCGATTTATATCCTGTCCACCTTGGGCGCTTTTTCCCAATTTCTCCCACAGCTGGAATCTGGTTTGTTCTCTCCTACAGTAGGTAGTTGCTAATGGTGTCTTGCCAATGGACCCGAAGTATTTTGCGTAGATAATTGTTAATAGACACCTGTCCCAACCTTAGCTGCTACCTTGACGTGGTTGTTGGGCTGGCCTATTGTGATGAACGAACCGAGCTACATTGGCTGGAACATTTGTTCCTGTAGGTTCTACCATGCCAGGCAGGTCGATTGGAGAACAGTGTTACTAAAAGCAGCAGCTCAATGTCTGAGGGCAAAGTCGTACTGCTGACTGTAGAGGGGTGTGACAGCAGTAAGGAGTTTGCTTCAGACGACCATTATCTGCAGCGATGCTGCCTTCTCACAAGGTAGGAAGGGATTAGAAAAAGTCGACCCTAAGAATGTCACACCACCTTACCTCACAGATTTCTGTCTCCGGCGGTAAGACCACTTAGAGTGTAGCTAACACTTCACAAACTTCCCATAAAAAGGTCGTGCGTGACCGGCCTCAAGCACTTGTCCCTTGCTGCTCAGATATGTAAAGGTTTCTACATCTTCCAAAGCTTCACCGTCATGCGTGATTTGGTTGGTGCATGTTGTACTGTATCCTAAGATCTTGCTTTTTCCCCTGTGTATGTTGAGGCCTACTGCAGCATAGACTGCTGCTACATTGACTGTATTCTCCTACATTTGTTGTTGCGTGTACGGTAGAGGAGCCAGATCATGTGTGAAGCTTAGATCGTCTAGATGCATTCGAGCTGTCAACTGGATCCCGTGCCTCCCTGTGACTTCTTCACAGTCCAGTCCGACCATCAGGAGAAAGTGAAAGGGTGAGAGTAAGCGACCTTGCCTGACACCGGTCTTCATTTCGAACGAGCCTATCACCTGTATCCCATGCACGATCTTACAGCTTAATCCATCATAAGAATTTAGTATATTGTTGACTATCTATCCTTATATATATACACATTTACTTCAATGCTTCCACATTATTACAGGGTCTTTTATCAGAACGCTATATGAGATGATTGTTACATAAAATCTTGTCATAAAATCTGCTTTCTTGTTTGTAATTTCCTACTGAGCCCAGGCTTGAAAGTTCTCAGGAACTAAATATATGATTTATATGCAGATCAAATAGTCACTCACCCTTGAGACAGCCTTGAATGATATCCAAAAGGCTGTGAAAAGAGTAGTGATATCTACCAATTAGGTAAACCTAAACGTTAGGGAGAAGCAGGGGACTTCAGTAGCATCTACTGAACTGATAGGTTCTCAAAAACCCTGCTATTTTTAAGGATGGTGGTTCAGTTTTAGAAGTTTGACTGACTGACATCCAAGGTAGAATCTGGGAACTGGGCGTAATCCCATCTGACTGGTGTCAATCACTGATTTTCTCGGTCTATAGGAAAGGACAAAAGTCCTCTTGTGACAACCACAGAGGAATCAGTTTAACTAATATAGTGTCTAAAGTATTATCTTTGATAATACTTCGACTCACAACTATGGTTCGTGAAGAGCAGGCTCAAAAAAAACCAAGCTGGTTTCAGACATGGTCGTGGATGTATAGTTCTAATATTCACACTTCGACAGGTCCTAGAGCATAGATAAACATTTGGACATGGGATTCGAATTGACAGTTCGACCTCTCTGTACTAATATGGTATGGCAACTTGAATTGATGCACGTACGTACCAATTTCTACGTTGTAACTGACTGACTGACTGACTGACCTTATAGGTCACCTATCCGCAAGGCATTATCCCTCGCTTTGAGTCTAGCAGCTTCTACTATTCTACTTCATTTGCACAGGCCAACCAGCCAGCTTCGTTTCTACATCTAGCACTATTTTTTTATATACAAAAATTATCAGACCTCACAGCATCCTAAACAAGAAATTATGCTGTAAAACATGTCCATGCCATAAGTGTCATAGAGCGAAACAAACAGTACATAATTAATGAACAATAATTATGAGATATTAAAATGCACAACAATAGTGAGAAGGCCCAGTAAAAGCTTACAATTAGAAGAATATGGAAATACAATAATATAGTTATCTAATAGCTATACGATAAAGAACCTGAACAATAATAATCCAAGAATAGTTCCACAAGTTCTTATTTTCTGACACTCTTTCCGTTATAATAGCGATTCATGTTTCAACTATTTCGGTTGAGGCCTGGCCTCAATCAGTTTACTACCTCTTCGTAACACGTTAACCATTGATTGCATTACAAGTGTGCAACAGTTTAAAGATACCTATGTTTGGGTATTAGTAGTTTACTCATATCCACAACCTTTGGGGGTCATTTTTCACAACCATAGAACAATACAGGGCAAACTAATCAGCAATAAACTCGCCTTTCCATAGACAGATGAACATTTATTTTACGCCCATAATGGTGAGAGTTCACAAAATGATGTAATGATGATTCTGAACAATAAATTACTCTTGAAACTTCATCCAATTAGTAGGTTACCGTATCATTGTATACTTAGTTAAATAAACAACCTTACATGATACTACTCAAACAGATCAAAAGTAATACAATTTAGTGTTTAAAAAAAATATTTTTCATTTTTACTACTTTTTCCACTTATACAGGAAGCTGAACGTCTTCGTGAACGTGAAGCTGAACGCCTCTGTTCAGAAGTTGCACTTCAAGAAGCTCAAGCTAGTTTAAAACAATGTAGAAATGAAAATGATACTCTAAAGCAACAATTGAAAGAATTTGAAACTGTCAAAGATAATCTGGAAAAATCCCAATCTCGTATAGATATGTAAGTTGTAAAGGGTGATTAATAGTAGTACCATTTGAATTCATCTTTGCTTTCAATTCAATGGTATTATTTAATTCTAATTCATTTTGTTCTGCATCATTTTTGTGTACTAACTGATGTTGGTTTTAAAAGTCACAGTCAGTCAGTTGCAACGTAGAACTTCGTACGTATGTACATCAGTTCAGGTTGCCATACCACATTAGTGGTTGTGAAAGACTTGTTCTTAATACGTTTGTGTTTCGTTTCTGAATTTCCTCTTCTTTTATTACATAGGTGTCTCACCTAAGACAGTTAGTTAGTTGTATGCTTCAAATATATGAAAATCCTGTGTTCTTACTAATTATTCTACCATCTTTATCAATGACTGAATGTTTTATAGAGATGACTTAGTGCTAACAAAACTGGTGTCACAGGAATTCATATATTTAAAATTTATATTTTTGAGATTTCTTTGTCAAGTTTTCAAAGTCTTATTACTATAGGAGCTTAAGTTTTCATGAGGAAACCTCAGATGTCGGCTTCATATATCTTTCAGAACACAAGGCACTGGTTGGTGTAACGGGTACATTTCTAGTTTAGTTATAAATATACTTGATTTAATTCATTTGACACTTGTGATGATAAAAGCCTAAAGATAAAGCCTATATATATTACTGAACCGTTTTATTTTCCAAACTATATGTTCTCCTTTCTCTTATCTAGACTTACCAGTGAGTTATCATCTGCAAATGATATGAAATTAGAGTTACAATCATGTAAACGTCGTATTGACCAGTTATCAGATTTTACACGTCGTCTAACTGAACGTCATGCAAATTTACAAGCTGAGCATCTAGTTACACTTAGTTCACTAGAAGAAACTAAAAATTTATTAATTGAGAAAGGCGAAGAAATTGTACAACTCAATGAAAAGCATGAAAATGAACGTAAAGAGTCAGAAGAGAAAATGGCTACAATTCGATGTGAATTCAATGATTTATCTGTAAAGGTATTTGTATTTATACCGTATCTTATAGTATGTAAGTTTAAGTGTCTTTAATTGAATCAAAATGCAGATGTAAAGCAACTCACAAGTCTGTTTCTCAGGTGGTGGGTCATACTAATCATGTCTCCTCTACTTGTACTCTCTGATTTCCATGTCTTAACGGAACAATCTATTCTTATTCACTGTGTGATCACTTCAGCGTCAGTTGTAGAACCTTCAAGAGAGGTGCGTTAAATAAGTAAAAAAATTTTGCTAGATTCTAATAACAATACAAACTAATTGATGACAAATAGAGAGTCAGTTCTATCATATCCTTATATTGTTACAAAAATTTAAAGTATATTGGACTTTAAACTACTTCATATCATGAAAAAATTCAGTAAAAGTTCAATTCTTGACGCATCATCATCTTTTACCTGGGGATACATTCAGGATAAAAATGGATTGAGAAGGTATTGTATCAACAGTCAATTTGAATAAACATAAACAAACTTTTTTGATATTTTTGGGGCAGAGTTTTGGAGGTTTGCGTTTTTACACATTTGAAATCATCAATCAATCATTGTTAGACCACCATTAGAAACCTGGAAGCACTGGACGGCCGTTTCGTCCTGGTATGGGACTCATCAGCAGTACGCATCCACGAATCCTGCTCCTTGCAGAATTGGAACCCGAGACCTTCGGCATTTTAGGCGAACGCCTTACCATCGGACCACTGGTCCGGCATCCAATGGTGTTAATGTCTAACTCTGATTGATCTAGGGATTTTGCGCGACCTCACCCATTTGTCTTTGTTAGTTACTGCCTACACCCGAAAGGGTTGAACTCCATTGGTCACGTCTTCTCAACTAGAACTCCGAGAATTTCCTCACGAAGCTAGTCGCTAGTGAGTACTGTTACGATATTTTTGGGGCAGAGTTTTGGAGGTTTGCGTTTTTACACATTTGAAATCAATTTGAAGTTAATTTTTATGATGAATTATTCATATTAATTGAAAGACTAGTGGAAGAATTGCATCGTTTTCGTAAAAAAGAGTCAGTATGTTAGTTTTCATAATGTTTTGTGTCATTTATATGGACTTCTGAATTAAATCCTATTTTCCATGATTTTCCACTTGACATCAGAAACTAAAAATTGTCGTCACACTACTTGAGTAATTTCAGTAGTATATTTTACTTATACTCAATAAATGTGGCCAATGAATTTTGAGAATGACAAAGAAATATTCATGTGATACATTTACTTTTTCTTATAATTAAGTCAAATAAAAGTAAAGACAGTGAACTGCTTTGACTATCGACTCCTGATATTTTTAATTCTACCGTCTTTAAGATTCACCAATTAATTCACTGATGAAACGATTTTTACTCATAATCAATTGGATAGATTACAGTCTTTCAATGTAGAATTTAGTTATGTCCGTAGTAATTTTCTCATAATTTATTTTATGTATACTTGTATATACACTACTAATAGTTGAATAAACTCAATGAATCAGAGAATTGGCTTAAAATTCAGTTAAAAGAAGAAAAAGAACGTGCTACTGCTATTCATAAACGTGATATTGCACGAATTAAAGATATCACTCGTGAAGTAACACGTTTATCACATCAAAAAAGTCAAACAAACCAATCAGATTGTTATTGTTTGACAAACAATTCTCCATCCGATTTAGAAAATGAATTGAATTCAAAATCATCTACGAACTCTTCGAATGGTTCATTGAAATCTTTAAACTTGAATCAGATTACTACCGAGGTAAGTGTAAAAAATTCAGACTACTCAAATCCCTTGATATTTAATGTTATTTTTTCCAGAGAAAGTTCAACTGTAAACTAAATGTTAATATGAAAATAGGATTTTATACTAAAGCTTCTTTTTTGTCTAGGCCTTTTATTATAAGTTTAATTAGTAAGTTGTATTTACCACACATTGATATCAGTTATGAGGCCATTGAATGGGAAGGGAAAATGGAAACTTTATTTGCGGGACTTTTCTGAATTGTCCACTAATGATTCTCACATGATTGAATCATAGTACCTTCAGATTTCACTTTTGACACTTCTGAATTCCATCGTTCATGATGGCCCACTAGAACTTCAATAACATACCTCGAAAATCAGCTGTTGGCAAAGCTGTCACTGATAAAGATGTATTAATGACTCATTCCTGGATTAGATAATTGCGTCAGTGGCTTCTATACTTCAGCTGTTCAGTTATTCTTCTCTTTCTTGCTTCCTGCTAACATCTTGATTGTGAAGTCGATATCCAGTCCTTACCTATTGACACAGCTGAAATAGCTATATCCAAATTAACATAAATAGGAGCAATAAACTTTGATTGCTTAATTCTAGAGGTCTTCAAGGATAATTTTATAGTTTTGACGCTTAAACTGACTGTAACAGAAGGTAAAGTTCCGGAGCTGGAGATAACTCCAATCATCTACTTTGGATCTCAGGTTATTCCGGTTCATATGAAAGGACTAAAATCTCTTTTGAAACCATTTAGATTAGTTTTATTTCTTAACATCCATAATTTCCATAGTCGCCATATGGATTTGCCGTGTTTTTAAATTGATGGCTTGATTCAGGCATACGGTAGTTGCTGATTGCGGAACTAATGAAGCTTATTCTAATAAGAATGGGTTACCCCATCTGTGGGACGGCTGAAGTATTCGTTTTTCCATCAATTCCACCACAAGGATTCTTTCTATATTACTTACTACTGTAATATGCGTCCTTTATTGGTCGAAGATATGCATAGGTATTCAGTACCCAATCCTAGGCGTTTTCAACCTATGAGTTGCAGACCTCGAGGTAACAACGTAATCAACATTGATGTAATGAATGGAAACAGGTAGCTAACACTGAACCTTCACTGACCAAGGACATCAGAATGTATCCTAAGAATGGCTAATCATCACATACTCTGAGTCGCTTTTATGTACAGCATGATAGCAGGTTGGAAGAAGGTTAAATACAATCGAATTGAGTTATGGCATCAGTTTATGACTGTTGGTCAAAGTCATGTTGGAAGTTCATAAATTATGGTTGTTATCTGTAAGACCATAATGTCAATGGTATTGGGAAGCTCAATAGTTCAAGGGAGTTAAACAAAATGAAGAATGTAAAATAATGCTGAGCCCCAAGATATGAAGAAAGATCAACAAAGAACATATCTGCATTTTCACTACTTTATTTTGGGCCGTGTATCTGATGATATACTATAAGATTACCCTAGGTGTTTTCTTTTTACTGTAATAAAGCCTCGGTATTAAGACCATTATAAATTGTAACAAGTCCTACACTGCTTGTGAATGATTGAGACATTGCCCCACATATGACAAGAAAATTTTCTTTACTACAAATAGTTTTATTCGCTTTGTGATTAATCTGGTACGTACATTAAGTAATCAAGTAGTGTAAATGTGAATAAGGTGGTCTCAAGTACTCTTAAAGAAATACTTAAGCAGTTGTCATTTCCCGGTTGCCCATACTATGAAAGTATACTTCTTCTTTACATACTTGAAAAAAAACAAACTCTTATCGATTTTGTTGCTATTCAATTTGATTAACTTCGTCTCACTGTGTAAGAAGGATTTGATTTTGACCAATTTGGTCTCGTATGCTGTTACGGGTATGAGGGCGGTTGTCACTTCCCGGCTGCCCACAACGTGGAAGGTTGTTTCTTGAGGGACCTGAAAAGGAAGATAGATTAGTGTTGGTCTTGGAGACCTGGGAGCGTGACCGCAGAGCCCAAGGGACAACTGCTTGAGGCCGGTCACACACGGCCTTTTTATGAAAGGTTTTTTGAGTATTAGCTCAGCTCTTAGAAGCCATTAGTGGACACCCTTACCGACGGATACGGAAATCCGTGAGGTAAGGTGAGGTGTGACATTTTTAGAGTCGACCTTCTGTAACCCTTCCTTCCTTGTGAGAAGACAGCATCGCTGCAGATGCTGGTTGTCCGAGGGAAACACCTTACTGCTGTCACACCCCTGTGCAGTAGTCAGCATTACGACTTCGCCCTCAGACCTTGGATAGCTGCTTTGAGTCTCATAGTTCTCCATTCGACCTCCCTGGCATGGTAGAACCTTCAGTAACATATGTTCCAGCCAGTATAGCTTGGTTGGGTCATGACAACAGGCAAGCGCGACCACCACCTCAAGGTAGCAGCTACGGTCGGGTATATCAGTTTGTGCTGGTGCATGTATTTGCTAGACTCGAAATTGATTATGACTGATTGTGATACCTCCGACTCTAATATCATCTTTTTCATTTGTTTATTACTTTTTGGTGAACAATAAGCGAGAAAATGAAAAAAATGTTAATCCTTTATCAACAGTATCAATGAAGCAGAGTATACTAACCAATGGATTCGATTCTTTATCATCACCAATTGACAATCATAATAAAATTGATGATTATGAATCAACCATTGATGATATTTCATTTAATCTCAAATGTTCCGAACGTAATGTTCTCCTAGAGAAAATTGATCGTCTTCAACGCAATCAAGTTAAATTAACAGATAAAATTGAATTTTTTCAAGAACATTGTTATCAACTCACAGAAGAATTAAATAAAAAGAGTAAAATTATTCAGGTATTTGTAAATGCCATTTTGTTTTTAACGTATTTTTGAATGGTTGTTCAATATTTTATTTGATTTTTTTAAACTATACTCTACAATACAAGTATGGGTCATTAGTTAAATATACGCTAATTCGAAAATAACTGTACTCGTTAGATTTCAGGGTTTCTAATACAAATGCTGTAAATTTTTATCAGTGAACGATCACAAATAATTGATGTTTGTAATGATAAAAAAGTAATTCAACATCACTAACTAGTTGTTCCCAAATTGATGAATACTATTCTTTACAATTTGTATTCATTTCATCTAAATTGAAAAGGTAGTACGCTGCAAAAACTTTGTACATAAAAAAAGATAATGACTAGTTTTTCTTATCGTTTTTGCTACCACAAAAACAATGTGATGAAACTATACATGTCCGTAACTCATGACATAATTATTAAAATATATGCAATGTATATATAAAGTTCACGTTACACATCTTAAACTTCACATGTAAATCTAATGTATCCAAAATGTCTAGTCTAGTAGTAGTTCGCTCCGTCTTACTTTATGGCTGTGAAACATAGCCAGTATGAGTAGTAGATATTCGTAGGGTACTGGTTTTCGATCATAGGTGTCTCCGAAGCATTACTCGAGTATCGTGGGACACACGAGTGAGCAACGCTGTTATTAGGAAACGAGTTCTAGGTAAGAATGGCAGATCAATAGATGAAGTAATGGAACTTTATCAGTTGAGGTGGTTGGGACATGTGTTGCGTATGCCTAACCACCGACTACCTCAACGAGCTTTGTTTTATAGTGTAGGAATAGGTTGGGAGAAAGTTAGGGGTGGCCAGACCAAAACATGTCAGAAATCCATGAAGTCATTGACAAGTCGACTGAGTCATGTCGGTAGTTGTCGACTACCTGGTTGGGATCCGCGAGATGATAATAATTGATGGTTAGCGACCCTGAATGACATGGCTCAAAACCGTTTGCAATGACGCCGGTGTATTTATTCTTTGTGTTCTCTCAAATCTTATATCTTCTGGATTTTTCAGCCCCTCTAGTTTTGACTTTCTAAACTTTTCTCACTGAGTCATATTTCTTGAATATCTTCTCATCCTAACCTCCGATTACTTCTAATACCTTTACTACCTCTTCTACTATTGGATTTGATTTGACATTTGCGTCTCTGTGCTAATGTCGTATGGCAACATGAACTGATGTACTTACGTACGAAGTTGTACGTTGAATCTGACTGACTGACTATCCCCAATGTATCATATTGTGTGAGTAACCGGTTATCATTAGTAACCACAACGACTGAGTATAGTTGGAAGCCTTATTATTCCAATAAGACGTTTTCTTCTTAACTGTTTTCTTTTAGAATCTTCTAGTTTCACTAGATAAACATCATGAATCAACAAATTCCTATATTAATGAACATAATCATAATAACAAGAAAATATTAAATATAAATCAAAAGTATAATTCCATCCTATCTTCATTATCTGGTAGTGGTAGTAGTAGTGGCGGTGGTATTAAAACCAAGAAAACTAATGATACAGGATTATGTGTTGATGGTAATTGTCAAAAACTTCAAAATTTACTGGAAGATACAATATTTAAGAATGTAACATTGAAAGTATGTGAAATTTGCTTTCTTGAAAGTTATTGATATTTTTTTTGTACAGTGATGTTTTTCAAAATAATCTTGAATCTAATATGAAATTGTAGATTTATGAATGACTATTTTTAGGTTTTTTGATACAGTCAAATAAATCCGATTCACTCATGCATCTTTTCAAGCCTATCTGAATATCTAGTTTTTCCGAAGATGCCTCTAAGATCTTGATAATGTTCTTCATCAAATGAATTATTACAGAATATCTCTTTCAATCTTGTTATGCTCGTCTCTAGGTATGCTTAAACTATTACGGGCCAACTTTAGTCGAACCAGCGTCCAGGTAGGCTGCTGTGAACCCTTGACCAAATTGTACCAGCAAGAAGTCTTGATGTAGTGTAGATAGTGTATTCTACAAACACCCAGTCAGCACACAATGAATCCAAGCACTCAAATTGTGTATATTTATACTCTATGGGGACGTCCTTGGGACAGTCACAAAAGTAGCACACTAAAATGACACAGTAACCAATCACAGCTAAGGGTTTTTCTGATGGGAAATGTGATCTCAAGGTCAACTGATCGGCTCATCAAATAAATCCAAAATGAAGACATTTATCAAGCGAGTTCTAGGGATGTAACATCCTCAACAGATCTATCTAACGAACATGTTTAACTGGAATTTTTTTTACATCAGATATGCAAAGAACTGATGTATTTTTTTCTGTTGTATTAAAGTTATTAGCTTGTGCTTCCCCACCTGAATATTCATATCACATAAAAATGTTGTTCATACAATTAGCATATAGGCATCTTTTAATCTGATGTCTAGTTTGATCTTAATGAATAAGATATTCATAAAGAAATCCTAAAAGATGATAACGATTTTAGTTCTGTTTGTCACTGTATCGTGTTCATTCATCTCTATGAAAAGTTTGAATAGTCTGATCATTAGTTGATTTGAAATTTCAAAATCCTAAACTACTTTTGTAATTACGCTAACCTTCTCTAGAGGGAATTAGTTCTGATGAATAAATAAATTTCCACATTTGAAATCATCAATCAATCATTGTTAGACCACCATTAGAAACCTGGAAGCACTGGACGGCCGTTTTGTTCTGGTATGGGACTCATCAGCAGTGCGCATCCACGACTCCTGCTCCTCTCAGGGTTCGAACCCGGGACCTTCGGTGCTGTGCGCGAACGCCTAACCATCGGACCACTGAGCTGGCATCCAACGGTGTTAATGTCTAACTCTGATTGATCTAGGGATTTTCCGCGACCTCACTCATTTGTGTTTGGTAGTTACTGCCTACACCCAACAGGGTTGAACTCCATTGGTCACGTCTTCTCAACTAGAACTCCGAGAATTTCCTCACGAAGCTAGTCACTAGTGAGCCGTCCAGTGCTTCCAGGTTTCTAATGGTGGTCTAACAATGATTGATTGACGATTTCAAATGTGTAAAAACGCAAACCTCCAAAACTCTGCCCCAAAATAAATTTTGCATTTTCTAATTTATTTGTTCTAATTTCATTTCTTGTAATTTTATTTTTATTTTAAAGGAAAACTTAAATAAATTGGGTTTGGAAATATCCAGTTTACGTTTAACTCATGAACGTCTATTAAACTCACTTTGTCATTCATGTAAATTGACCATTGAAAATTTGCTTAAAACACCACAACATTCAAATAATAGTAATAATCATTCAATTACACAAATTAAATCAGAACCACCAATATTTCAAAATGGCGGTGTTAGTGCGTAAGAAAGCAAAAAAAAAAGAAAATCTCATCTGCACTATGTTTATATATACTGTTGTTGTTAAATATTTTTATTACTATTATTTAATTGAACCTTTCAAAAAAATTGCCATGTTATATTTATTAAGTAATTTTAATTTTGACTAAGTTTCCATCGATTTGTTTCAGCATATTTTCATGCATATCGATTTTTTCCTTTTTTTCCTGTTTTTACCTGATCTACTTATGCATTATTACAATACATTTCAATTTATTGTAGCCACTTTACTGTTTTCGTTCATTGATAATAATATACACTTTAGTAACTAATCTTTATAAATAATTAATTATTGTATCTATCATTAAACAACTCACTCACTTGCTCTCATATATCTGTGATGTTTTTTTATTAAAAAAAGCGTACAACATCAACCGCCTGTTTATTATTAATCTTAATGAATATATATATTTTTTTGTTTATGATTATTTTATACAAATTTTATTTGTTTTCTTGATTATTATTTTGAAAAGAATTATTTTTTCTGTTGTTGTTGTTGTTATTTGTTTGTTTGTTGTAATTGTTGTTGCATTGTATTCATTGTTTATGTTTAATGATGTGTATTTTTGTTGATCAGAGTTTTTTTGTCTGTGTATATATATGATATACATACATACATTTTATCGAATTGATGATGTATACATATACTGAGATCAGATTGGTAAATTTTTTCGTATTTCTTATATTTTGACAGAATTTGCTAATTTTTTTTAATTGTTTACAATTGTAGTTTGTTTTATGAATTCTGTACAATACAATATGTTCAATAAATTTTAGTGTTACTGGAGAATATTATTTCATGTAATATTTCGAGAAAAGGTATTCTATAATGTGGGGATAGAGTTTCAATTTTTAGCGATAATTCAGTCAGTTACAATGTAAAAGAATTTGATTGTGACCAATTTGGTTTCGTGTACTGTTACGGGTAGTAATTAGTTTGGAATATACAAGAAAGTTAACAACACACTAAGATTCTGTCTTTCAGTCTCTTAATGATAAAAGAATATAAATAAAAATGTTTACGATCCAGTTTCTTGAATCTAGGTGTTGCAGACGTTAGATCTCTGGAACACACTTGGAAAAGGTCCCAAATCTAGATTTTTTGTGTTTTCGCGCACAAGCTGCTTGGTTGACCCTGAGACTACTTCTCCCACTCGGAAAATTCTTATTCGTCATTGGTTGATGGATTATTTTAGTACGCTATTTTTGTGGCCCTCCCAGGGACGTTTCTATCATGTATGAATATCTTTGTCCACCTCGTTTGAGACTTACGTCTATTACCCCTAATAGAGCATAGGTTGTCGATCAGCATTCTACAACCACCTCTGTCCTAAGCCTTTTCATTTTAGTATACTCTGACCACAATACACTGGACAGGTTCCAAAGAATCAAAAACACGGTGGAACAGGAAAAGATTATATTCCGAATGGCAAGGTTAAATGGAAATGCGAAGGCGAAGGTAAAATGGAAACAACGTTATTTTCTTTATAGTATTTACATGAGAAGCTTCTGGATCGTAATTCACGTGATCGACTGGATTAGACTTAGCCAATCAGCGTGCAGGTAACAACACGAGAATTTTCTACCCTGTTCTCCAAGAATCGATCAGGCGCTGATTGGTTAGGGAATTAGCCAATCAGCAACGTAGTCATGCTTTATTCCATCTATGTCCCCCTAAGAGTCTACCTCTTTTTCTTCGTCTCTGAAGGTTCCAAGTTAGAGCTCCCCTCGTGATGCAGTTGGGGAGATCTCCGCAATGTAACCTATCCAGCTTCAGCGCCTTCCCTTAATTTCTGCCTCAGCTGGAGTCTTTTTTGTCCTCTCCCGCATTAGGTTGTTCTTGACTGTGTCTTTCTTACAGATCCTCACTTGTTTCTTTTGGATAATTTATTTTGTAGTTCTCCAACTTTCTGCTGTATAGAACAGTTTTGACGTTTGTAATAAATATTTTGACTTTGGTGTTGCTTGGCGGTTGTTTTGAGTTCTAGATATTCTTCAACTGTCGAAATACTACCCTCACTTTGACCAGATTTAAGAACTTGAATGATAATACATCCAAACTGGTTACCAAAGAGCTGTTCTTAAAATTACAACCATATATCTCACCCTACCCTGATATCACTAGTACGATGTGTAATCTAAACTTGTTTCATTGATTCTCCGTTACTTCATAACATTCCTCATAGTTAAATGAACTGACTCTGTGTTTGAGGATTACAAGAGCCAAGTTTATAGATCACATTGTATTTTAAAAACAGTTTCAATTGTAAAATACTTTAGATAATTAAAATTCTTCTTTTCTCCATTTTAATCTGAAATTCAAATCAAAATTAAACTTTTTCATTATGGTTTAACTATCGAAGAGAAGTAGCAGGTTTTTAGATACCAACTAGTCACAAAGTCATTCAAAATGCACAGTTGGCTGCTCTCTACAGCTTTTTTCATATCATTTAAAAGAAACCGTTCATTTAATTTGATATACATCATTCATCAAAACCATGACCATACAGTACAAATATCAGATGTCAAGCTATTAAGGTTTTGATAAGCAAACTGATGATCTAGAAATGTACTATACTATAATCAGAAGTTTGAAAAGAGTTATATGAGAAAGTTTGCCATTAGAAATTAAATGATTATTATGCAGTTAAGAATTACATCAGAAACTTTGTGCAAATTGTTTTCTCGTTATCAGTGGTCACTTTTTTGGGCAGTTTGAGGTGGATATTTGTCTGAAAATTCTCCATATAGTTGGTCCATCGATTTTTCCACATAACTGATGATCAAGTTGAGAGTGAACAATTTCCTCATTATTTACTTTCGAACATTATCGCCAGATAAGTTTTTTTTCTAGTCAGTTATGTGTAAATTCATTGTTAGTTATTTTCATAACTAATTGTAGTTATATCATAACTAACCAATCAAATTGTGGTTTAAGCGCCCACCACATGATCCGATCTGACGTGTCTGTAAACTATCTTTGTTGTAACTCACCTACTAATCAAAGGTCATTATTATCTTATTATATTGATGTGACTCACAGTTTTATCCATTTCCGCAAGACACGCTATATTGGTCGGTACGTTTGCTCGTCTTACTTGATAATTGTAATTTCCTTATTTATTGTACTAATTTAATTGTTTTTATGTTTAGAAACAGATAAAGTTTAAAGCAAAATTGGTCTTGTGTGTGACTATATAGTTTTCCCATAGACTCTGTGCTCGCCAATATTGCGTTAACCATTCTAGAATTACATCTGTAGGACAAATTAAATCCTACAATAATAATCATTCAAATTACACGCTTCGGTGTAACAAATAGATTCATCTAGATAATGTTAAATAAAGAACAGAAAATATACACAAAACTTTATTCATGTTTCCCGTATTCATGAATTGTAGTTCAAAAAGAAAAAAACGTTATAAACTATAAATGTGATATGATTTCAAACTATTTATTAGTCATAATAGTAGTTAATTTTATTAGCTTAAATAAAAACTGATTTCAAAAGAAAACAAACAGAAGTAATGACTGTCAAACATGTTTTATCATGAATTCACTTTAGATGAAACATTGTCAAACGATAAGTTGTTCATGATTCATCGAGTTATTCAGCAGCAGCATTAATGTAAGTTAGCACGACTTATTTTACCAGGTCGATTTTGACATATATGTTATAAGAAAGTGGCAATAATGAGTAATCCAAATAAGCTCATCAAAAAGAAGTATTAATCATATTAAGAACAATAAATAAGTTTATTTAGTTAGTAACCATCATTAAATTAAATTAGGTTAATTATACCGAATATATTATGTCTACTACTAGCCAAACGTATAATCTAGTCATGATTAGCTATAAAAATGACTACTTCTAGCCAGTCAATCTAGCACAAGGATAAGAAAGCTTTAATAGAAGAAAACTGCTGTAGAGAATTTGTAGATATTGGTGAATCTTGTGGTTTATATTATCTAGTGATTTTAGTTAGAAAAATTACAGGAAACCAGAAATTTCTGGTTATTTGTTTGGACTCAGTATGGGACTCCTTAACAGTACTCATTTGAGGGTCCTGATTGCAATCTTTTTCGGGGGGTTGTGGATGTGTACTTCTAAGGAGTCTCATATTAAGACGAACCAATTGTTCAGTACTTCCTTATCTGTAATGATTGCACAACTAAGATCAGCCGATGATTTTAAATATAAAATTTAATTGGACGATTTAAATTTATTTTGTAATCCATTGATATTCTTTATTTTGATTTCACTGCTCTAGAAATCAGTGAAGTTAGACGTTTAGATATATAAAGTATGACTATTTGGAACCATGGATATTGTATCACTCTAACATCAATAATTATGGAATCAGATTCTAAAATTTTCCACTGAAATATATTCTCAAATTTAGGTTTATGGATTGATACTAATATTTGTTAACTATGTGAGTTTATGCATACTGTTGAATTTCATAGTATATATCTTAGTTAGACGACCAGTGATAACCAGGAAGGATCCTTCATATTTACCAGCGTTATAAGGAGAACATGTGACCGATGGAGTTTGACCATATCGAGTTTGGGACAGTTACCCGCAAACTAAACCGGAAAATGATTCAGAAATATCTCTAATTGATTAAAGATAGACATTAAAAATATTGGATGACGGATCAGTAGTCTAAAGGTTAAACACTTGCTGCGTGACCTGATGGTTCTGAGTTTGATCTCCTATGGGATCCTGGATTCACACTGTTAGAGAGTAGAATTTCTGAACGATGAAGTCGTCTATTGCTGCTTAGTTTCTGATGATTATCTAGGATCAATCCGTGATGTACATTAATATTCACACTTCTAGCATTGCATTTAAGTATATTGTGTTTGCTTACTGGGCCGTCAAGTTAAGTCACTTCTTATCTTCACTTGTTTTAACATCACAAAACCATCGAGTCAAATGTCAATTATGATTAAGAATTCGTTGATAATAATTTACTTAGAGGTCAAATTATACATTATCTTAAGGCCGTAATGCTGAATTTGAAATAGTGACTCTTAATCGATCAAATCGTGTAGCCATATTCTCAAATGCGTTACTAATGAACTATCCAAATCTTAATAACCACGTATACCGTTTTTTACTATCTAGTTTTCAGGAATTATTAACTTGTGTGTTTGAACTTATTAGTACTGTTGTGGCTGATGCTACTCACAAGGTGGGATATGAGTAGTATGCACTGGAGCGTCACTGAAAATTAGCTACCAAAGAGGAGTCTCTGGAGACCGGAATGTATGGCGAGATCAAAATGAATGAAAGACTAGAAGAGATGTAAGAGAAGACAGTCAGAAGCCTTCATAATCTTTGGTG